ACCGAGAGTTCAAAGCCAGAGACTCAGCAACTTAGCAAGGCCCTAAGCAACTTAGTAAGACCCTGTCTCTAAATTAAATATAAAAGAGGGATGAGGATGCAGCTCAGCGGTTAAGCACCCCTGGGTTCAATCCCTGGTACAAAAATAAAAGAGAGAATACAGGTAAAATATCTAGCACCATGCCTGCTTTTATAGTAGGTGCTCAATAACTGTTGTTCTTAACATTATTGTTATTACAAAGTATTACAAAGTCCTCCAACATAAGAATATGTGGAATGAGAGTGTGTGCCAAGGAGTAAGGCCTGCTGCTGTCCTGAAGGACAGTGTCCTAAGGTCCCCAGTTCTGGGCCCCACTCCACACAGAGGCTCCATCTGAACCCACTCTCTGGGCCTGGGCCTTGCAAGGGGCAGTGGCCACTTCAAAGCCCCCGTCATCTTCTTGCCAGACATCCACTCTGCCCTGACTGGACTCCTGGCCCACAGCCATGCTCCCTGAGCCTCTGGCCCCAGACCTCTTCCTCCCTTAGCCAGCCCCACACCCTTAGGAGCTGATGGCATCTGGATGGGGTGGGAGGTGGGGCTGAGGCAGAGACTGCTCTTAAAAACTACTCTTGGCTCTGAACATCAGGGAACTTAGGGGATGACGTGGCTTGAGTAAGTCGCTAACCCGCCTGAAGCTTGTTTTCTCATTTGTAAAATAACGGGTTAGCTGCTGCCTCAGATCCTCCTTAGGAGGCAGACTCCATGCACATTATAATTTTTGAGAACTGAGGAGGTAGATCTCAAGGACCTTGGCGTTCGGATCACACAGGATCAGAGAGACAGGAGGCGCTGAGCTCTGGGCTGTGCACTCCCGACAGCGGGCAGGTGCGGACACTCACTGTCTTCCGAACCCCATGCAACCCCAGGCCGGGAGGGTGAAGGGCTCAACGGTTCTGTTTCACCAAGCAAGTGACCTAGGCTCCAGAGATGAAGGAACCTGCCCCCAGGTCACACATCGAGTAGTGACAGAGCCGGGAAGCTAACCTGCATCCTCTCAGGTTCTCCTCCCTTCACCAAGTGATGGGGATTGTTCTTCCCAGGTTGTAAACAAGCGTGTGGACGCTCGGATCCAAGGCGCACAGGCGAGACTCCATACTGCGGGCCACCCAGCTGGGCACCCGCCCGTCTCCTACCCACGTGCCAGCACTGGCCCAGGCCTTCCCTGGCGCCTCCTTGGACATCCACCCTCTTTCTCCCATGCCTCTCCCCGACTCCCTGGTGCCAGGGCTGCCTGTGGCAGCACCCCACACACCTGACCTGCCCAATCTCTTGGCTGCACAACCCACCATCAGGACTTCAGCACCCCAGGTGCTGAGAGGCTGGCGCAAGGTGGACCAGCAGAGTTGCCTGCAGCAGTGGGAGCCATACCTGTGCTGTCCCTTATATAGCCTCCAGCCACATGAGGCCACTGAGCCCTAGAACTGTGGCCAGTGCCACCAAGGAACTGATGTCATTAATTGTGATAATGATATTCAATTTTATCTTAGAAACGAGCAGCTAGCAGCTGCCACACTGGACAGCACAGACAAGGCACCGAGAGGGTGTGGCCTCCACCCCTTCACACAGGCACACACAGCAATGGGTATTTTTGAAACAGGATCATGGGATCTGCTAGGTGGTGAGATGGGCAAGAAAAAATCCTGGTTCCTGAATTCCCCAGCCCAGGGCAACCTGCATTGAGCCCCAAACAGCCCATTGCCCAAGGTGTCCAGGCACAGAGAAGGAGGGCAAGCAGAAAGACAGTGCTGCCCTGAGAAGCCAGTGGCCCGGCAAACACCTGAGTCCTGTGTAGTCTGCAGACCGAGCCGCACAGGCTGGACCCGCCATCCCAGACCTTTGCTGAGGGTTTCTTTCCCTTCCTGAGGGTGGTCTTTGCTCCTCTGCCTCTCAGATGGTGTCCTTTCTCTCCAGACCTGAGGGAGGGACTCGGGAGCCTAATGGCCTAAGTCTAAGTCTAATCTAATTCAACCTCATGGGAGGCCAGAATCCCCAAAGGTCGGACAGAAGCAGAGAGAAAGAGAACTGGGAGGCCTTCCCCAGAGGTAGGCAGGCTGGCCAGTCATTAGGTCAGTCACTCTGGCCCCACCATCGTTAGAGGACAATGAAGACTCCAGATGCTTTGCCCCCCTTGGCTTGTCAGACCCTGGGAACAGCAGCTGGTGGGCAGGGCTCCCCCTGCTGGGAAGACCAGGAAATGCGCCCCCCACCACACAATGAATGGATGGGAGCCTCCGCCAAGCTCAGCTCGCACAGGGAGGAACTTGGGTGGAGGTGGGAGGCAGAACAGAGTGGCCAGCGCTCTCAGACATCCTCTCCAGGGCTCAGGATGGTGAGAAGCCAAAGGAATATCAGTTCGGGGCCCCGGGAGTGAACTCACTACCCCCACAGCCTCCCACTCCCCTCTCCAGAGATGGCCCTTCTCCCACCTGTTCCTCTGGCCCCCGGTCTCTGGTGTGGGGGAGAAACTGGTCCCTGCTCCTGATGACTCATGCGTGACCTCGGTGGAGTTCACCTGCATGGAGGGGGAGAATAAGGACCACCTCCCAGGCTCACAGAGAGGATGGAAAGGACAGAGGTGAACAGTGAGGGTGTTTGGCTGCAGGGCCTGGAGCAGGCAGGGCATCCAGTACCCCGTGCTCTCCCTCCGCCTCCCTCTTCCTCTCCTCTCTTTCCCCAGAACTCCAGGATGAGGACCCCGCTCCCTGGACCCCAGAGCTGACACCAGAAGACAGTTGCCTGGAGCTGGCCGCCCACCTGTGCCTGGCTCCACCCCTCCAGCCACCTTCCGCTGGCCTCCCTGGGCTCTGCTGCCCACACAGCCCTGCGAGAGGCCACTGTGCTCCTTGCGCATGTACCCTGCACCCATCTGCTGCATGCAGGCCGGCCAGGGAGAGTCTCCCACTGCGGGGTGGTTCCCACACCCAGACCTCCAGGTTCTCAGCCTCACTTCCCTCAGCCCCACTCCTGGGGTGAGCTCCAGGGTGAATGGTGGAGTGAGAGCCCCGGGGGGTGAGCAGCCTGGATGGGGGGGGGTGCCCTCCACCACCACACATTCCCCATCCTCTCACAGAAGCTCCTAGTCTCCCCCTTGGCCTCCCAGGCTCAGCACCAGCCAGGCCACAAGCCAGAGACCCCTACGTGTCCTCTGCTGCTGGGAAGCAGAGCCTTCAGTGCAGGGGAGCTGCCCCCAGGTGGCAGTTCCCCCACCTTCCCAGCACCCATATCCCCTCCAGACTCAAACCAAGGTCCTTCTGCTACCCACCACCATCTCAGCCATCGCGGTAGATCTCCTAAGGGGCTCAGCGACATGGACCAGACCACAGCCTCTGCTGGCCCCTCAGGTCCTGGGTGACCTGGGTGTGGCCAAGCCCCTTTGCCTCCCTTCAGGGCCCAGAAGTTCCAGGAGGCCTAGGGGCTCCCAGACTGTGAACTCCCCCTCCTGCTGGGGGTTAGGAAGCTCCGGGCCAGTCCTGTTCCAACACGGCTCTCTTCCAACAGGGAGAGAACCAACCCAGGAGGCCACCTTCCAGTAACCCCAAACCCTCAGGCCTGGCTCAGGGGGCATCTCCCGAGCCAGCTCGAGGCCAGGTGGAGAGGGCCCTGGGAGGCTGGGTGGGCCCACAGGCCTGCAGACTCCATGAGAGCTGGGGCAGTGCCAGGGCCTGGCAGCCATGTGGCCAGAGCACCACATGAGGAGTCTGTGCAACGCCTCGCACCTGGGCCAGAGGGGACCAAAGGATACGGGGAGGCCACCACCCGGGCCCAGGAGGGTGATAATGAGTGAGGGAAGGGACCCCAACCTCAGGGCAGCCCAGGAAAGCATTATCTCCTCTTCCAAATTCCCAATCCCATCTCAGATTCCCAGGGCTGAAGAGGCACCAGGCCTGACCCTGCCAAGCAGAGCTCAATCCTAATCCCCAAACCAGCGGCACACGCACGCGTGTGCGCGCGCACACACACATACACACACCCGGGGAAGGTCTAGACCCCGGGAATAAGCAGACCCCATGTGGGTCTGTTAATATCACGTCCATTCTTCACAAGAAAGGAAGACAGGGATGGCATATCACAGTCACTGCACCCTGATTTCAACCAGGCATTTGTCCAAATGTGGACAAGACAGAAACACCGGCTTCCCGACACAGCGAGGTGGACTGGAAACGCCTCTCCGTGGCGCCCCGTAGAGTGGTCTCGCCAAGCTTTCTTTGGGGCCTGGTTTGTTTTCAACTTTCTTAGTATCTCCTGGAATGAAGGAATGGTGCTGACTGAAACTCTGGAGGTAAAAGAGAGGAATTAGGACTAGTCTACGCAGTTAATTGGCAGTCCAAAATATCTGCAAAAGGTGGACGATTAGAGAAAACCAAAAACAAACCGAAACAGAGATCAATGTAGTCTTTTGTTCAGCTTCAAAACCCCGCAACATACCTTTGGGATTAGAGATCCCTGGTTTGGTTGTAGTTCATGGAAACTATTTCATTGACTAAATGTTTAAAATGAATTAACAGCTTCTGGGGGCTGCTTAAGATGGTAGATACAGCCCAAGAGTAGTTCCCTCAGCTCTTCACTGAATTACATTGATGTTCCCAGTCTGTCTTGTGTGTGTGTGAGTGTGTGTGTGTCTGTGTGTGTGTTAGTTTTACATATTTCTGTTCTGTTAGCCTCAGCTTCTCCACTTTGCCTTCAGGTTAGCTACCTTACCCTCATGGTCACAAGGTAGCTGCCACAGTTCCAGGCATCATATCTAAGTTAAAATTTATAATAGAAGAAGAGACCTGTTCTTCTGTGTCTTTTAAAAATCTTTTCCAGAAGCCCCCTGGTAGGCTTCCCCTCTACCTCATCAGCTAGAGTTGTGTCATCTACCCACGCCCTTGCCCAAATCACTGGGAAGGAAAATGAGTTTACCACAACTCCTTAGATCAGTTTTATTTTCCCCTTGGCCCATGGAGGAGGGTGAACACTTGATTAAAATCACATTTTATTTAGGAAGACAAAAAAGAGGACGTGGAGAGAATAAAGATGATTAAGTCACCAAAAGCCCTGTTTTATTGGTATTGAACTCTCTGTCGTTGAAGGCATTCAAATAAAGACTGGATGAAACTTGTCAGAGATTCTTGCAGTGGGTGAGAGTTGAAGGTGATGAACTTGAGGTCCTTTCCAGTGGAGAAGATGTCCAGCCTCCACACTTCAATGATCCTCTGTGACTCCCATATAGGAACTTCTCCAGTGAGGAACCACGTCTCTTGCAGAGATCTCGCGAGTAGGCTTTGGGACCCATCGACACAGCTCCCAGGGCCCAGGGTGTCCCTCAGCTGGACACTGCCCACCCTTCTCCACTCTGCCACATCCGTGCAGCTCCGACACCCCGGGAGACTAAAGTGAAGACACAAGCGAAGCCCCAGCCCCTTCTGCCCGGGTGTGGCCCTCAGGCCCCCCCCCCAACGGTGGATCTTCAGGGCACTTCAGGGGCAGAAGGGGCATCCCCTGTACCCTCTGAAGGTTCAATAACAGTCTCATTAAATAAATGGCAGTAGATTCGTAGAAAAGGCACACAGGTTTACTGCATCCTGGGAGAGTGGGGACCGGATAACCTGATGCAAGTTAGAAGCTTCTATACCTTCTGGCAGGGGAGACGGGGTGTAGGCAAAACAGAAAAAAAGGAAAGTATTTTCGGGAAATGAATGAGCCAAAAAAAAAAAGCCTGGGACAGAGTCCGTGTGGACTGTGGATGTGAGGTCGCTCTAGTCCTCTGTGCTGAGAGCTGGTCCTCCAGAGGATGCGGCCCTCAGGTGGACACCCACGGAGCTTCAGAGACGGCCCCTCCCAGCACTTAGGGGAGGGGGGAGCAAAAGACAGGGGACGGGGAGAAAGTCAGAGAGACCCTGGTTCTGAGGCTGCTTTTTTTAGTTCAAAGTACCCAGCATGTCCAAGTGCCTGGCTTTGGAGTATTGTTTTGTGAGCCCAACAGAATTAACACCCTCAGCAGCGACAGACACATCGGTGGTGTGCGAGGTAGAGGAGCCAGAGGAGAACTGTCCATTTGATTTCTGACTCAAAGAGCTCACAGCAAAATTGGAGGAAGAGAGACCGAATACGCAATGGAACCACAAAATAACAATTCTATTTCTGCAAAACACATGTTAAATCAGCCAGATTTCTTACATCTAAATAGAAATACAGTTATCCAAGATTGGCGCTCGGTGGCAGATGAGTGGAGATAGACAGAAGGTGTTCTGGGAACACAGAGGAAGAAAATCAATGTTATTTAAAATCATAGTAATGGAGGATAACAATTTTCTAAATGGATATTTCCAACCCCGCATGGTGGCACATGCCTGTAATATCAGCATCTCAAGAGGCTGAGGCAGGAGGATCACAAGTTCAAGGCCAGCCTCAGTAAAGTAGCTAGTTTCTCAGCAACTTAGTGAGATCTTGTCTCAAAATGAAAAATAAAAAGGACTAGGGATGTAGCTCAGTGGTGAAGCTCCCTGAATTTAATCTCCAGACCAATAAATAATAAATAGGCCAGGGTTGGAGCTCAGGGGTAGAGTGCTTGCCTAGTATGCACAAGGCCTTGGTTTCAATCGCCAGTACTACAAATATAAGTAAACAAATGAATGAACAAAATGGACATTACCAGATATGGTCAGATATCAGTCAGATTTCTGTTACTGTAACAAAATACCTGAGATAATCCACTTAATAAGGGAACAGGTTTATTTGGCTCACTTCACGGTTCATTGGCCCCGTTCCTTTGGGGACTTCAGTGAGGAAGCACATCATGGTGGGGAATGCATGGTGACACTGTCACTTCATGGCAGCCAGGAAGTAAATAGAGAGGAAGAGGAGGGACCAGGATGCCAATATCCCCTCCAAGGGCATGCCATCCAGGACCTTCCGCTAGGCCCCACCTCCTGAAGATTCTATCACTTCCCAACAGGCCACAGCCTGGCACTGTTCCCAATTCCAATGCCTGGGCCTTTGTGGGACCTTCAGAATCCAAATGACAGCAATCTGATTGTACTTGCTTAGACCCCTGTCACCAGAAACCACTGTCCCCTGAGGAGGGCCTGGGCGCCAAGGAAATCTTCAAGGAGATAGGCTGTAGCTGTGTGCCTCCGCCTTCTGATGAGATTTTCGCGTCTTTCTATCCATAAAATAGGCTGTTGGAATGGGTTTTTTTAAAAATAGTAACTCCCAAATTTCCTAGAGTTCCCTCTGCCTGAGCCTGGGGCTAGCAGCCTTCATTAAGCACATCTTCAGATTAAATTCTCAGATCCCAATGCTCTCCTAATGTCCCTTTCGGGTTTGGGAAGTCACTTTTCCCCCTGGTATTCAGATAAAAGCAGCGCCCCATCCCGGCCTCATGCTTTCCAAGACTCTTGCGACTGGCGGGACCCGGCCTGCGAGGGCTCCCTCTCCTCTGATGCCTCCCTCTCCATCCCATTCTGTGGGGAAATGAGTTCACTCAGGTCTTCTTTCTTCTGCAGACCTACAGAGGGAGGATGCTACCTAAACCAGACTTGGGGGCAAGGAGAGTCCATGTGATGGGCAGTCCTCTGCCCTTTCCTTAATTCCCTCCCCACCCCCCAAAAAATGTGACTAATATAAGGCAGAACTTGTAAGAGGATTTTACTAAAAGTTGGGAAAAATTGGGATGGGGGGGCATGGGGGGAAGAGAGGTGGGGCTATTTTTAGCAAGTGGCTCAGATTTAAAAAGCAGATCCCCTGGGGTTCAGGGCGGTTTTTGTTTTGTTTTGTTTTATACTGAGGAGGGAACTCGGGGGCACTTTGCCACTGGGTTGCATCCCTAGCCCTTTTAATTTTTTTTTTTTTCAATTTTTTGAGACAGGGTCTAAGTTACTTAGAGCCTGGGCTGGGGATACAGCTCAGTTGGTAGAGTGCTTGCCTTGCATGTACAAGGCCCTGGGTTCAATCCCCAGAACCACCAAAAACAAAAAATCATCTAAGTTACTTAGAGCCTAACTGACAGGCTGGCCTGGAACTTGTGATCCTCCTGCCTCAGCCTCTAGAGGGGCTGGAATTATAAGTGTGTGCCACCATGAGCAGCAGCCCCTCCCTTGTCCCTCCCCTGCTCTCCTGTTTCAGGGTTCTCACCCTCTTCCTGCTCAGATGTCTCTGGCTTTTGTCTTCAGAGCAGTTCAGCCCCCACTAGGAAGGAGCTAGAAGGAGCTGGAGCTTTTATCTGTCACAATTGATGGGTCATCTTCCAAAAACAAAGACTCCAGATAGCACTTTTCTCTAGGATCCACAAGCAGCTGGAGACACTCTGCTTGATCCACAGGCTTCTTAAGACAGTGAGCCCCAGTCACACTGGAGGGAACTGAGGCTTACAGCAGTTAAGAGGTTTGCCCAAGGCCAGGCACGGCGGTGCACGCCTGTTATCCCAGCAGCTCGGGAGGCTGAGGCAGGAGGATCAAGAGTTGAAAGCCAGCCTCAGCAACGGCAAGGTGCTGGCAACTCAATGAGACCTGCCTCTAAATAAAATACTAAAAAGGGCTGGGGATGTGGCTCAGTGGCCGAGTGCCCCTGAGTTCAACCCCCCACCCAAAAAAAAAAAAAAAAAAAAAGGTTTGTTCAAAGTCACAGAGCTGGTAAGTGGGGACATTTGGATTTGAAGTAGGTCTATGGACTTTAAACTGTCCCTTTTAAGAATGACACTGATTTTCAAAGAGGCTTGAGGAAACCTTGGGAAAAGGGAACAGAGAAGCCCAAGGTGTGAGGCAGAGCCCAGCCCCCCCCCACCCCCCCCCCCCGTCAGCTGACAGGAGTAAGCAGAGGCAACCCCAGAGGAGGCTATAAGAGAAGCCAGGGTGGGGTCATAAGAAAGGACATAAGTAGAAGATTGTAAAGCTGATTAGAAGGGGGAAAAAACTAAGGGACAATTGGGCACATCAAACAGAAGGACTGAGCTGGGCACATTGGCACACACCTGTAATCCCAGCTACTCAGGAAGCTGAGGCAGGAGGATTGCAAGTTCAAAGCCAGCCTCAGCAACTCAGCAAGACCCTGTCTCAAAAAATAAAATGGGCTGGGGATGTGGCTCAGTGGTTAAGCACCCCTGGGTTCAATCCCTGGTACAAAAAAATATGTAAAAATAAAACCAGGACTGGGGAAGTAACTCATTGGTAGAGCACCCTGGGTTCAATCCCCAATAATGAGACAGCAACAAATAAAAAACAGAAGGACTGGGCTGGGGATATAGCTCAGTTGGTAGAGTGCTTGCCTCGTATGCACAAGGCCCTGGGTTCAATCCCCAGCACCAAAAAAAAAAAAAAAAAAAAAAACCAGAAGGACTGAATGTGGATTGGGAGGGCAGGAGGTGACCCAGAAGGAGGAGTCAATAATCAAATCCAAATTTCCAACAGGCTACTGGGTGGGGGTGAGGGTGCTGGCTGAGATGATGACCACACGGCAGGAAGGTGCGGAGGGCTGTTCGAATGGTTCAAGTTCACAGGTGGAGATGGAGGGCCTGCGAGGCAGCCCAGTGGAGAGGTTCCTAAGCAGCTGGGTTCACGCCCCAAGACAAGCCCACACGGGAGATCATTGCTGTCAATGGTAATTAAAGCCATGAGGGGGATGAGCTCATGCAGGGAGAACGTGTGGAGGGAGAGGAGGCAAGCACCCTGGACACAACCGAGGAGTACCCACAGGAGAGGGAGGGCCCAGGGCCGGAGACAGAAGAGGAAACTGAGAGGCCAGCCAACCCAAGGGGGTAGGCGGCCCCGCCCTGGGGAACCCACAGGGGTGGACTTCTCCAAGCAGGGGCCCACGTTGTCGAATGCTGCCCAATTCAGTGCTAAATAGAAAATACTGGAGGCCATTGTTTTGGACTAAGCTCCTGTACTAGGCCCCAGCTGACCAAGCTAAAAGTCAAAATGGAGTCACTCAGGCTAACGTTCCATGTCACCAAGCTGAAACTAAGCTGTTTATCTCAGCTTCTGAGAAATCGGGATTAGAGAGATAACAGCCATATTCCCAAACAGACTGGTTTCAACTGAAATGATAACAAAGTTCCCTCTGCCTTAATCCTCACACAAAAAAATGTAAGTGGAAGTAACCTGATATTACCCAATGGGTTATTTTGCTGTTGTTGTCTCCCTGTCCCCACCCTACAAGGAAAGTAATGCCACTCCACTTCTGTTGTCTGTGCCTGCTCACTTCAAGCCATTCTCTAGCTATAAATCCAACCACCTTTGCTGGGACCATCATAATACTTCCTCTATTTTGTGGAATAAAGTGTTGCCTGATTCTAGAAAATAAAGCTAGTTAAGATCTTTTAAAGTAAATTTTTGTAAGTTTGTCCTTCAGAAACATTCTGAGAATGGCCATTGGGTTTAGAAATGGGGGTGGGGGAGCGGAAGCTGGGTATGGTGAGAGATGCCTGCAATCCCAGCTACCAAGGAGTCTGAGGCAGGAGGATCATAAGTTCGAGGCCAGCCAAGGCAACTTACTTAGCAAGACCCTGTCTCAAAATTAAGAGGCCTGGGAATGTGGCTCACGGGTGACTTTGGAAACCACTGGTGATTCCAGGGAGAGCAATACCACTTGGGAACCCATTTTGAGTGGTGTGAAAAGTGAATGAGAAGGAGAACAGCAAGCAGGGAGAGAGTTCTGTCAAGATAAGGGGGGGGGGGGAGAAGATGTTATCTGAGGAGCAAATGGGGCCAAGGGAGGGAGGGTTTTGTTTGAGGAGAACGATAAACAGATAAACAATCTAAACAGTTAAGTGACAGCAGAAAGGAGCCAGCAGCAGGGGATGGGGGTGGGGGGGACAGGCGGAGGGTGCTGTAGAAACAGTGAGGACTCAAATGGAAACAGACCAGACTTCTGTGGCTCAGAAGTGGAGGGGTCCTCTGGCCTCCCCTACAGAGGCCCCTTCATAAACTCAGAATCAGCCAGCATGCAGTGGCGCAGGCCTGTAATCCCAGTGGCTCAGAAGGCTCAGGCAGGAGGATCGCAAGTTTGAAGCCAGCCTCAGCAACTTAGCAAGGTCCTAGGCAACTTAGTGAGACCTGTCTCTAAATGAAAAATTAAAAGGGCTGGGAAGGTGGCTCCATGGTTAGGTGGCCCCTGGGCTCGATCCCTGGTACCCAAGACAGAAACAAAGTCAGAATCAATAGGAATCCACTAGAAGATCTGGGACAGGACAGGAGGGGCACAGAAGAGCAGAAACGACTCCTAAGGAGAGGAGGGACCCAGCTAGGGGCAGGGGAGGAAGTTCTCAGGAATATGGTGACAGCAGCCTGGGTCCTTATGGACCACCCCACACCCCCAGCACAAGGACCACAGCAAAGCTCTCTGCCCTCCCTCCCCAGGCCTGTGTGGCTTTCAGATCACCCATGGTGCCACCCCTGCAGTTAGTATGGACTTGGACTTCTGTCTCCCTCACCCTCTGGGACTTACCGGTGTGCCTACAATCTCTACCTGTGACCTGGGGGCCAAAGATTCTGGCTCCATTTAGTTCGTTTGTTTGTTTTCTATACTGGGGACTGAACCAGGTATAGGAAAAGAGAGAGAGAGAGAGAGAGAGAGAGAGAGAGAGAGAGAGAGAGAGAGAATGTCTCAACTAAGATGCCCAACCTGGCCTTGAACTTGAGACCCTCCCACCTCAGCCTCCTGAGTAGCTGGGATTATGGGTATGTGCCACTGCACCAGGCTTCTGGCAGAAGGTGTCCCAGAGTCCTCCTCCCCAAAGAAAGGAGTTGTTCCTTGGGGCTTCCCTCCACACAGGCACCAGAAGATGCCTGCAGACCTGGCTCCTCCCGCTCCCCCCGCACCCCGCCCACCTTGCTGAATTCCTCTGCAGGCCTGTTCTACACCATGGTTGCAGCGTGGCCGTTTATGGAGCTACTCACTTACCTTTGCTTTCATGATCCTCACAGAGCACCTAGCACACACCCACCACTCCTGCTTGCAGGTGATCGGACGATGATAACGCCAATCTGCCCAACCCTGCCCAACGCAGCCTTCTCACCTAGCATTGTACTAACTGCTTTTCTCTCTCTCCCTCCCACTCTCCCTCCCTCCCTCTCTCTCTCTCCCTCTCCCCTCCCCCTCCCCCCCTCTCCCCACCCCCAGGGATTGAACCCAGTAGCGCCCTTTTTATTTTTTATTTTGAGACAAGGAGACAGTTCTCACTAAATTGCTGAGGCTGGCCTCGAATTTGTGATCCTCCTGCCTCATCCTCCTGAGCCGCATGCGCCAACGTGCCCGGCCTGCTTTATTTTTTTTTATCCTCTTTCTCCTTATAGGAGCCCTATAAAATGGGCACTATTACAGCCATTTTATAAAAAAAAAAAAAATGTAAAAAAGAAACTGAGGCCTAGAGTGATGAAAACCCACGCAGTGGGTGGACAACACCTTGCTCCTCCTCCCCTGGAGGCGCTGAGCTTCTCTTCATTTGGGTTTCCCACGTTCCCTTCTAGAATGACGTCCCCCTCCTGTTCTGTGCATTGGCCCAGCGCTCTGGGCTGGCTGGCAGCTGGCTCACCTGGCTGCTTACTTACTTCCTGCTCAACACAAGCCCCTCCTTAGTGAAATGAGGCCAACCTGGAGCCCTGCTCTCCCCAAAGAGGCGCTGGGGAGATGAAATGAGGTCAGAGGTGGGGCAGCGCTTTCAGAAGTGCTCAGGGCACAGGGTTATTCTTACCGAATCCTCCCAGAGCGGAAGCCCTGGCATCAGCAAATTACATGGTGAGGTGTGCTGCAGCCACTCTGTTTCGCATCCCAGGCTGTTTACACTGGAGCCCTTCACTGGCTGGGTAATGAAGGGGTTTCCCTCTTCTGAAGGAATTCCAGGTGTCACCTAGCAGACGGAGAAAGCTATGAGGGACCTTCCCTGCACTTCTGAAATCGTAGCCAAGAACGAAAAGACTGACATTTATTGAGCAGTTAGTATATGCCAGGCACTGGGCTTGCACACAGCACCTCATTTATTTCTCACAAACCCTTAAAGCACAAACACTACTATTTTTACTTTTTTTTTTTTTTTGGTACTGAGGATTGAACCCAGCTATGCTTAACCACTGAGCCACCTTCCCAGCCCCTTTATTTAGAGACAGGATCTTGATGAGTTGCTTCGGGCCTCTCTAAGTTGATGAGGCTGACTTTGAACTCATGATCCTCCTACTTCAGCCTCCCCAGCCGCTGGGATTGCAGGCAGGTGCCACCACTCCTAGCTACTATTTTTACTTTATAGATAAGAAAATTAACTTATTTGAGGTCACAAGCTTTGAAGGGATTAATTTAGGGCTTGGAGGGAGGGTTGTCTGATGCCCAAACTCACCCCTTTCCCATGAAGAAAAACCCAAGCCTGCCTCCAAATTCTGCAGAGAGCAACCTCCTCTACAGCAGCCACAGCCTTGCTCCTGTGGGATCACTGATGTGCCTCCCGTTGCTTGTGCACAGGACGGGAGCTCTTTGAAGACATGGACTATGTTCAGTTGTCTCTGTCTTCCCAGCATCAGCCCAGTGCATGCGCCACAGAAAGTGTCAACAGAGTGGTAAATGATTGACTGGTCAAAGAATAATTTTTGTTTTAAGAATAAAATCATGAGTGTTATAAAAATATAAAATCACTTGCATCAAAAAATTTTATTTAGGTTTTATTTAGGGCCAGGTGCAGTGGCACACACCTGTAATCCCAGTGGCTCAGGAGGCTGAGGCAGGAGGATCACAAATTCAAAGTCAGCCTCAGCAACTTAGCCAGGCCCTAAGCAACTCAGAGACACTGTCTCTACATAAAAGTATACATATTTTAAAAAGAGGGAGCTGGGGATGTGACTCAGTGGTTAAGCACCTTGGGGTTCAATCCCCAGTACCCCCAAAAATTATTTAATTAATTAATTAATGGAGGAGCCAGTATGATGTGAGGGTGCAGCTCAGTGGCTGCACAAAGCCCTGGGTTTAATCCCAAGCCTTGCAAAATAAAAAGAAGAAGAAGAAGAAAAGAAGAAGGAGGAGGAGGAGGAGGAGGAGGAGGAGGAGAGTGGAGCGCAGTGGTGCACAACTGTAATCCCAGTTATTTGGGAGGCCGAAGCGGGAGGATCACAAATTAGAGGCCAACCTGGGCAACTTATCGAAATCTTGTCTCAAAATAAAATTAAAAGGGCTGAGGAGGGTGTAGTTCAGTGATACAGTGTCCCCAGGTTCAATTCCCATATCACAAAAAAAATTCAAAAACAAAAGAAAAATTCAAAGAACCCCAAATATAGCTCTCCTAGTCTGTTTGGCCAACCATAACAAAACATCCTAGACGAGGTGACTTAAGCAACAGAAATTTGGTGCTTAAGCTTCTGAGAAGCTGGAAGCCCAAGATCAAGCTTCCCACTGATTCTGTGTCTGGTGGGGGCTTGCTCTCTGACTCTAGGAGACCACATCTTCTTGCCATGCTCTCTCAGGTGGCCTTTCCTCAGTGCATTATAGCCAGTCTCCTACAACTTCCTGTGTTGTAACATAGCTCAAAGACAACGAAAACCTAAAAATTACACACACACACACACACACACACACAGAAGTATGCTAGATAATATTGGTAAAGATGGCACCAGGAGTGCTTCTCTTCTGGGAGCTCAGGAAAGATGGCGCCCAGAGCACTTCTCTTCCGGGAGCTCAGGTCCATGACGTACTGAATGGCGGGCGAACCGTCACCTCCAATCCCTGTGAATGGCACGAACTTTGAATGGCGCACCTCCAATCCCTGAAGTGGCCTGAACTCTCAACCAATGAAGAAGTAACAGCCCACTCGCCTTGCACCTCCTCATCCTGTGTTAAGCCCATAAATATCAACACCCTGTTCGTGTTTGCTCTCTTACTCTTACTCTCTCTCTCCTCTCTCTCCCCCCTTCTCCTCTCTCTCCCCCCTCTCCTCTCTCTTCTCCCTCTCCTCTCTCTTCCCCCTCTCCTCTCTCTCTCCCCCTCTCTCTTCTCTCTCTCTGGACTCTCTTCTCTTCTGCGACTGGCCGCTACGATCCTGCTAATAAAATCTCGGACAGGTAAACGTTTGTTTTGGCTTGTTGACTTTACGGAGCTTTTCCATCATCCTTTACATTGGTGCCGAAACCCGGGACGGGGATCCCCGTCACTCAAGGTGGAACCCTGTTCCCAAACTCCGAGCCCAGCCATTCCTGTCATAGTCCACTCCTCTGATCGCCTGCCTGACATCCACCACCGGCATGCAGATTGGTGAGTTCCCCCATCCAATGAGCGCCTGAACCCTAACACACCTGAACGAGGGAATTGTCAGTTGAGTGTCCGGTAATCCCTCCGGTGTTTTAGGGGGGAAATGCACCCCTCTGAGACCCATCAGGGTTGCGGTGGACCCCGGGCACTCTGCTAGGACACCCCTGGGAATCGACCGCCTGGGACGTAGGATTAATTCTCTCTTTCTAACTCCTCCGTCTCTCTTCACTCTTATCCCCTGTGGACAGGTTAGCGTAATCGCTACAGCCCGTCTCACCAGAGTCTGGAACTCCATTCCTTCCTCCTGGAACTCTGTTCGTTCCTCCCGTTCCTGACTCTCTCGTTCCAGTCGAAAAACTTTCCTGACCTCAGGTTGCCCGAGACCCCGGCCCTATTTGGGTCTCACAGATCCTATTTGGGTCGCACTTCACTGGTGACGACTGGGTAGTGCCCTCTGTATTTCCTCGCAGAAGTCGGTCATTTTGGGGATGCCCACTTGATCCTCCGTTTGCCCTGAGCTTCCAGGAAGCTCTTTCCGTCCCGGGTTTTCTCTCTGTCCTCTCTCTTATTCTTTCTCTGTCTCCCATCTTGCCCTCCAGCATGAGAACTTCCTTGTCCCTCCTGGCCAATTCTCCCTTGTGGTGCCTCTTAGATAATTTGAAAACTCTGAGCCTGGCCCCTGATATTAACCCGAAAAGGCTCATAAAGTTCTGTACCCAGGACTGGCCTACATACCCCCTAGACAACCAAAACGTTTGGCCCACATGTGGGTCTCTGGATCCCAATTTACTCTGGGATCTTTTAATTACTGTGAGCGATCAAAGAAGTGGAACGGGATTCCTTATGTGGAGGCTTTTTCCTTGCTTCGATCTCATCCAAATCTCTGCACCCAATGCAAGCCTCAACAGCTATTCCTTGCTCTTAAACCTCCTTCCTTCCTCCTCTTCTCCCCTCTCTGCCTCCACACCTTCTCCTCCTCCTTCCTCTTCTCTGCTCTCCACCTCCACTTTCCACCCGGCTGATGAACTGCCTCCATACCACTCTCCCCCGCACTCAGCCTCGCTTTCCCCACCTTCACCTCCTCCCACTTCCCCGTCTTCTACATCTGTGGCTTCTTCTTCAGACACTTCTCCTCTTCTTCCTCCAGATACTTCCGCACAAATTCCTCCCACTTCCGTTCCTTCGTCCCAGTCCCTCCACCTCAGTTTAGTCCACCCACCACCCATTCAGCCACCCGTTCATGCACTAGTACAGCACCTAACCCACAAGTCACCACATCTCATCACCTGACTCAAACTTCACATGTTGTGGCCCCCCTTCAGGAGGTCGCTGGGCCGGATGAGGTTTTAAGGGTTTATGTTCCTTTCTCTATGCTTGACCTTTCTCAAGTAGAAAAAAATTGGGATCTTACACTGCAAACTCTGTCTCTTATATTAAAGAGTTTCAGTACTTAACTCAAGCCTATAGTCTCACCTTTCGTGATCTCTATATGATTCTGTCCAATACTCTCCTCCCTGAGGAAAGGAGAAGGGTCTGGGACCAGGCTAGGGCCTATGCAGACCAGGTTCATCAGACTAATGCCCACCATCCCTTAGGGGCCCAGGCGATTCCAGACCAACACCCCCATTGGGATTATAATGACCCCCAAGACCTGGGACGTAGGGATTACCTTATTACCTGTCTGATAGCTGGCCTAAAGGCGGCAGCACAAAAGGCTATTAACTTTGATAAGCTCCAGGAAGTCGTCCAGGAGAAGAATGAAAACCCCTTGGCCTTCCTAGACTGACTAACAAAGGCTCTCCTTCAGTACACTAATTTGGACCCTGAATCCCCAGATGGGAGGCAACTTCTTATGACCTATTTTTTCTCACAAAGTTACCCCAACATCCGGGCAAAGCTAAAAAAATTAGAGAGGGGACACTTGACTCCTCAGACCGAGGTGCTGGCCATGGCCTTCAAGGTCTACCACAACAGAGATGAAAGAGCAAAACGCCAAAAATGCCAGATGTTGGCCTAGGTGTTACAGGGCTCCTTCCAACCTATGGAAAGGGAGAGACAACAACCCCCACAACGAGGACCCTCTGGGCCCTGCTTCCAACCTATGGAAAGGGGGAGACAACAACCCCCACAACGAGGACCCCCTGGTTTAAGTATGCTTTAAGTATGGTGATGAAGGACATTGGGCTAGAGCTTGCCCTAACCCCAGGACACCACCCAGACCGTGCCCCAGATGCAGACATCCTGGCCACTGGGGATCGGACTGCCCTGCCACAGTCTGGCTGGGCACAAATCACGAGCCACTGAAGCAGGAACAAACTTTATTTCCAAACTCCCGCAAACATCACGCATGTGGCCTTCTTCCGGGACACACCACCCACCAACCGGAAATTCCTCCTCTCGCACTTCCCCAACCAATGGGAACTCTCCGGGAATCCCCGTGAGAACTCCAAAGTAGCATGAGAACTCCAAAGTAGCAGGCCCAGGAGGACAGCAGGGGTCTAATATGCAATTGAATACACAGCTTAACATAACCATTATCATCTCAATGGCTTGCTGGCATCACCTCTCAACCACTCATTCTGGCAAAAATGCCATGCGTCATTCCAACTCGGCTATGGCTCTCAGCACTGTCCCATTTCCCTAAGGGGAGCTGAGGTCAGTCACCCCGCCAGTGACTTGCTGGGCCTAGCAGCCAAGGATTGACGGGGCCCTGGGTCTTCTCTCCTGACCTATTCAATCACCAAGCAGGAACCCAGGGTGGTTATCCCAGTGGATGGGCGTCCCATAAACTTTTTGGTAGACACCAGGGCCACATTCTCGGTTCTGAGAGAGTTTGGGGGAACTACCTATCCCTCTGAATCTCCTATTGTTGGGGTAGGAGGTCAAACCATCATCCCGTGCAGAACTCTTCCCCTCACGTGCTCCTTATCTGAGTTCTCCTTTTGACACCATTTTTTGGTTATGCCTCAGTGTCCGGTGCCCTTGCTGGGAAGGGATATATTATCCATCTTGAAGGCCTCCATAACCTTATCCTTATTGTCCTCCCCTACTTATATCTTCATCATGGCTTTACTCCCCGACGAAGAAGAGACTTTACCCCCTTGTGTCTGGTGTGGAGACCCCAGCGACCACCAGAACTCACATTTTCCCCTCCGCTGTAAAATGGTAGATCCAATTGTATGGGACACTGAAACCCCATCCTCTGCAAATTGTTCTCCTGTGGAAGTGCATCTTAAAGATTTGACCACTTCCCAAAC